TGTCACAATGATCACCCACTCAGATGAATTATCGGACTGTCCCAACATACCCAGGTTTTGACCCCCTCTAAGGATCTCACTAATTGGCATATCAAAGACAGCCCAATCCGACACCTAGTGCAGTATCATAATCGAGTATAGGGGTGAAGTGTAACATTCCAGTTTTGCCCATCTATCTCCAAGGTCCAGGGCAATACTGGAATTCTGGTCCGGTTCAGGGTTTCAAGAAAACCCACACTGCATGTACCTCAGGTCTCACCCTGGCAGCTGAGACAAGTTACCCCAACCAACTTGGCGGCACATCAGTGTTAGCCTTGGCAAGATAAATCTCCCCAGATCTATCCAACGACTGTGAAGATTCTAAACTAACACGAGTCTCATATGTGTCAAGTTTAAGGGTATTATACAAAAACACACCATAATAACATGAATCAAATATGTATTTTATTCATTTACATTAAATGTCATACGGTACATCATTCTGATTGTAGCTAAGGGCATACACTCTCTAACACTTTGATGGGAGCAGCCAAGGCAACCCTGGTCCGTCTGGCATAGGAGGGGCTGTGAGAGACAATGAAGGAAATTTAAAAGCCATCTTTTCAGGACCAAAGGGACATGGAGACTCTTTAAAGGCAGAACTATATGCAGCCCTACTAGGCATTCAGATTGCAAAAGTTTTAGGAGTGGAGAAATTGATGATAGAAGGGGACTCCAAGGTGGTGGTGGGTTGGCTAAAGAACCCAGATTCAGTGATTTGGTGTTACAGAAATGAAATGAAGAAATTCAAATGGCTTACACAACAGATGATTTTAATTATACAGTGGGTGGGAAGGGAGGCCAATGAACTGGCTGATTCTCTAGCTAAGCAAGGGGTAACTAGGGATCAGATGTACTGTGCCCATTTGTAAATCTGCTATATATTTTTGTTAAAAAGTGAGGCTGCACCTCGTGCTTCACACTGGGACGCTTGTAACAGATGCAATCCTTTGCTTCTAATGAAATTTAATGATAGTTATTTATCAAAAAAACATATAAAAGTTTGCTGACCTTGTGAGTAATTCTGAATAGACAAGAAGCAGGAGGAATTAATATGCTTTTAATTTCCTTGATAAATGTAAAAGATACTAAGCAAGCATCTAGTGAGTGTTAAGTATTTTTTCTCCATCCATCCACTTACCTTTCTGTGTGTATAGTATTTAACAACTTCTAGTCTATTTTAGTTGCTCCATTTTTGACCTAGTTAGTCTTGAGAAATGGTTTGGCCAATTAACTTGCTGTATCAACAAAAAAGTATGGACTATGGGACATGATTAATGTTAGCATGTCTGTATCTGAAAAAGGTCCATTCTAGAATATATAGTTTTTTTTTTAAATTTAATTCTACAATATATTATTAGAAATATTTCAGATATATAAATAATGGAAACTGAGATATATTGTCTTATTACCATTGAAAATTGTCTTATTTGTAAATCTACAATATATATATTCTAGAATATATAGTTTTTTTTAAATTTAATGATTTTCCAGATGCTGTTGAGCACTAACTGGTGTTCCGTTGAAAATTGTCTTATTACCATTTCTGAAAAACGTCTAATATTGTATTTCAGAAATTAGTGGTAAAGGCAGTCTCTCTTGCCATTGCTCGAGATGGTGCAAGTGGAGGTGTTGTGCGTACTGTCATTGTGAGTTTCCTATTTCAATTAAATCTTTTACCGCATATTTCACCTTGGCAAATATTTTGTGAAAACCTCCATCGGAAGTGAAAATAAATGCACATCCAACATAAGGATGGAAATGAAAATAAATTCCCCTCTTTCTGCAAACATGGGGGATTTCATTTTTTCTTTGTTTTTTAGCCCCCCTTACCCCAAATAACACACAAAATGGAGGAATAGTAAGGTCAGCAGCTACTCGAGATAACATTGAACTTCCAAGTTTCAGGGTTATTCAGTGGATCAAAATTTGCTACGTATTGGCCCGTATCAATTGGCTGATATGTATTGTATGGGTGACCCACTGATATGCTACTATAAGCACTGTTTCAAGGTTTGACCTGTTTCAGGGGGGTAGACAGGCCTTATATCGACCCCCTCAAACAGGTTGGAAAAAAAACTAAAAAAATAATAAAGCGCTAAATGACCCATCTGGCATATTGGCCTGTAGGCTGTACTGATACTTGGAACCTTGCTGCATGTTTTAGCCCTCCTTACGTGTAGTTTATGACATGTAAACCCTGACCACCCTTATTCTGAGGTAACTTTTTATTCCTTCTTAATGATATAACTTCACGGGACAGGTTTGTGGTTAAAACAAACAAGCACTGGTTTATTGTCCACCACCTCCTATGCATGCGGTGCTCGGTTATCTTTTGTTTTGTTATTAGTTGCTTATTTGTGTGGATTGGTCTGTCTGCAGATAAACTCGGAGGGAGTGACAAGGAACTTTTACCCAGGGGATACCCTTCCACTATGGCACGAGGAGCTGGAGCCCCAGAATTCATTGCTGGATATTCTCTCCTCGACCAGTCCAGAGCCAATGAGTACTTAAAAAAAGGCAATCTGGCCATATAAAATGTTCCCCTACACTGGTGGTGCTTGGTTATATTTCATTCACACCTAGACTGCGGTGCTCGGGTCCAGCTCCCTTACAGATTTGTATCTTTGTTGCAACAACCAAGGACATTACTATGGGTATTTTATCTTCTTTAAAGAAATTAGTATAAAGCTGAACATCGGTGGTATTAGCTATTCTTTTTGAATGCCCTCGTTATTATATTCCCACCAAGATCACAGTGAAGTTTGGTTCAATGGTTCAACTGTGTTCTGTTCTCTTGTTTCATCCTACAAATCTGACTACTGGGTTTCGCCAAAATTTACATGCTTACAGAAATGGGTATTCGAACTTAATATACGTGAGCGCGTCACCCGCTTGAATGCAGCCCAACATTGGTCGATACGTCCAATTCATTTAATTTCTGAGACTTGGGGAGTTTGTGTTAATTGGTCACTATTCTCTAAGGCATCCGTAATTGACAGCCTTTGGATGCTTCAACTTCTTGAATTTTTAATCATGTACGACCTGAAAATGCAGTTCAAAATTTAGAACCTGACTATACGGTTAAGATTGATTTTCCCTTATAAATAGCGGCAACATTCGTAAGTTTGCATGGAAGTTGGAACAGAAAGGAGGCTATAAAACAATGTCTGCTGAAATTAGGCCAACGACGAACTTGAACTTCTACCTTCTAGTACAATGGCAATCCCTATTGGATTGGGCAATTGGCAGATAAGTCATCATCTTAAATATACCACATTGGGATTTAAAGAAATCTCTTTAAGAATGTGCGAAGTATGAATGTCTTCAAGCATTCCGTCAATTGCTCAAGTTAATAGAATATTCTCTTCTAAAAAAAAGGGAGAAATCATAAACAAAACTAGTTTTTTCCCCACTTCTTGGGAAACTACTACCATCAGGTGCCCTACAAGTAAATGAAGATTCAACAGAAGCAAACAGGTAATAGATTAGCAATGTAGTAACATACACACTGTTGAACAAGTTGCCAGAAAAAGGTTGTCAAGGCAGAGCCACTGAATGGTCAAAAGGGCATCTATTGATCTGTTTTTACTTTTAGCTTTTTATCTTTCACAAGGATCATGATCGACAAATTGTTCCTTGGTCTAAAAATTGAATCCAACCATGTCGCATATATTCTCTGGTGAACCACACACCTAATACTGACTTCTCCAAGTGTAAAAGAATTCCCTCCTGCTTCAGTAACACCCGTTGCCACTTGTCCTTCAAACTAAAAATGTTGCACAGCCAAATCAAAGAATGCATTAACGGAGTGGAATGCCACCACCAGAATATTCAACTTCCTGAAATACAAGAAAAACAAGGGTGTTTGTTAGGAAGGAGAGACTTGACAAACAATATGAGCCAAACATACAATACAAACCAAAGCAAATATCTTCCTCAAGAGAACCAGACTGCTAGTCGCATGGGTTGGCATGCGACTTTACATTTCACAGTGCTATTGATTTGACTTTATACATTTTACGTGGTCATACTTTACCATCCTGATTGTAGAAATAGAACCCAAAAGAAATTGCTTGTAATATCTCCAATCATTTCATGTATAAACATATAAATATTTATGTTTCAATGATCCGATCTAAATCACCTACATTTGCTCATTATTTCTTTCGAGCTAACAGGAGTTTTAAATGTCATTTTGCTGAAAAATACTCTTCTTTCAAATAAATAAAGTGAATCTAATTTATCTAAAACTAATAGACTTTTATCAGTAACTTTTTTTTATCAATAACAGAGATTGTTTTTTTTAAGGATAAAAGAAAGAATTTTATTAAAAAGATAATAGTTACAGAACATTGGTTGCCAAGGAGACAACCCAAATTGAATAACAACTAGACAAGCTGAAAAGATTCTTCATTACATGGCTGTAAACCTAGAATACCCCAAAAGTTCTCTATCAGATACCAATTTGATACTCTGCTATCAAGTTTCCTGCAAAAAAGACCCAGCACCCAATCTGATACCAATTTTCCCCACAGCAGAAACTATTAACTCAATGCTCTTTGATTTGTTTTCAAATACTCTTCTATTCCTTTGGACCCACAATGACTAGCAAACTGCAAAGGGTTACAGCTCCACATAATTTTGGCTTTCTTGCTGCCATTAATTTTCAGCCATCTAGAGAAAATCTCAGCAGGAGATGATGGCTGGAAAACTGACTTTCCGAAAAGGAAGGAGTAGAAATTCCAGATGAAATTTGCCACTTTGCAGGAAAGGAACAAATGGAGCACTGCCTTCTCATCCATTTTACACAAACAGCAGTAACTTAGAAGGAAAAACCCTCCTCTTCAAGTGGTCTGTGGTTAGGATACTGTCAAGAGCAACCAGCCAAGCAAATGGCTCCACTCTTGGCGGCACTGGATTCCCCCACACTCCTTTCATGCTATCAGATACCTGATTATCTCTGATCAAACCCAAGTAAAAGGACTTCACTGAGAACCTACCATCCTTACAATCTTTCCACCAAAGACCATCCTCCAAAGTAGGAGAGAAATAGGACTGTTCTAATTTGTTCAACAGCTGAATGCACTCATCCACTTCATGCTCATGCAGGGATCTTCTGAAACTTGGACTACAATCTAGTTGCTCCCTCTCAATTCGTAGCACTGATCAATAGTGATCTGATGTTCAGACAGTCTATATAACCTTGGAGGCTTGGACAGATATCACAAATCCCCCTTCCTTAGGTCTGCACACTTTTTCCCAGCTAACCAGATGGAACTTCTTGGACCCCCCACTCCTTCCCACAAGAAATCCCTTTGGATCTTCTTTAACTTGCTTGCTACTTCCTTCGGAACCTTCAATAGAGATAAGTGATAGGTTGGAAGGCTTGATAGCACACTCCTAATAAGGGTAATGCTACCCCTAAAGGACAAGTACTTTGCCTTCCACCTATCTAGTCTCTTCTCTATCCGCTCTAAGAGAGGACTCCAAATGTTTACAACAGTTGTCTTTGCACCAACCGGGATCCCCAGATATAGAAAAGGAGGTTCCCCAATCTGACAATTCAACACAGCTGCGAACTGCTCCATGTTGCTTCTGCTAATATCCCCAACTCCAATAAGGTGACTTTTTCAAGATTTACTTACAACCTTTCACCATTTCAAAATTTGCTAAAATAGCTCTCAAACTCAGCACCTGGTCAGCAGATGCACCTAGAAAGATGAGGGTGTCAACTGCATATTTGAGATGAGAGATAATAAGACTTTTTTGCACCTGTTTTTGAACCCTTCAATCCAACCCAGCTGTGAGCTTTTCTTCATAAGAAGGTTCAGAACCTCCATAACTAATACAAACAGCAGGGGGGAGGTTGGATCCCTTTGCCTCAGCCCTCTTGAGGCTTGGAAAAATTCCGATGAAAGTCATGAAACCCCATTGATGATAATGGAGGAGACTGAAGAAATACAGCCATAAATCCATCTTCTCCACTTCTCCCCGAACCCCATCAACCTCTGAATCTCCTCCAAGAAACCCCACTCCACATGGTCATAAACTTTTTCTATGTCTAGCTTACAGACCAAACCGGGCCTCCCACTCCTTATTCTTGAATCTATGCAGCATTCACTGGCCACCAACACCCAATCTAAAATCTGTCTACCTTCCACAAAAGCCATCTGTGTTTCCCCCCACCTCATGAACCACTTTTTTCAGTCTACTAGCCAATAGCTTATATGGGCTGCTTATTAAGCTGATTAGCCTGAAATCTTTCAAGTTCACTGCCCCATCCTTCATATTGATTAGAAAAAGAAAAGTTGCATTGGCCCTTCTTTCTAGTGCTCCAGATTCCCAAAACTCCTGCAGCCAATTCATGAAATCTTCCTCCAAGAAATGCCAGCAGCTTTTAATGAAATTAAAGTTAAAGCCATCGGGTCCCGGAGCCTTATCCCCATTTATTTTCTTCAAAGCTTCCTTTCTAGCCACCTTGCTGAAACCTCACTCAGATGACTGGGTTCTAATTCCCCCAACACCCAGCTCCATTGTCTGCCTGAATATAGCCTCTTGTAAAAGTCTTACCACTCTCTTGAATCTCTCCCCATGTCTCCACCCGCTCCTTTTCCACTAGGGTCCTTGTTATCGAATTTATCCTTCTTCTGCCGCTTGCAAATGCATGGAAAAAAGCTGAATTTTTGTCTCCCTCTTTTAGCCAATTAACCCTAGATTTTTGTCTCCATCTAACTTCTTCCCTTAGGATTAGACTCTCTTAACTCTTTTCTCCAGACTGGCCATTTCCACCTGAACTTCTCTCCTGCTATTTCCATCTTCTATTAACTTGTTCAGCTTTGACAATTTCTCCAGAATTTCCTTTTTTCTGTTCTCCTCTTCCCCAAACACTTGCTTCCTTCTCCCCTTGAGCTCCTCGTTGATGAACTGTAATTTTTCCAAAACTGTCTGCCCAGTGGAACCTGCCCTCTATGCACCTCTCTACTTCTCCTCTACCCATTCCATGAAGTTTGGTTGGTGCAGCCAGGTATTTTCAAATTTGAATGGAATACTGGAGATATCTTCTACCTCCACTAGCAACCTAGCCATGTCGAGCTTGTCCCAACTCTGTTCTTGTCATTGAATTTTAGGAATTTGCTGCAGTGATTTCCAATTTCCTCAAAGGTGAAAATACTCCACCATATAGAGGTATACCCACCACATCCAGCCACACTGCTCTCTTTCTCCTGAGCTCTGATATCACTCCTGACACTGGGTACCACCAACCAAATTGCAGATCGAAATCCTTCTCAATTTTTGACTCTGCATTTAAAACCTTCTCAGCTGCCTCCCTGCTGTGAAACATGAACAGAAAGAGCCCCCTGTTCAATTTTCTCACGCCCACCCTCTCCTTACCCCACTCTAACAAGGCCCAAACTTCAACCTTTTCCACCTCCAGATCAAGAGCCACGAACCTACCAACCAAACTTGCTGTCAGCACCTACATCCTTTCTTCCATCTTCCCTACTTTCTTCACATTGACAAAGATCGACGACAATAACATAGGTATCTACTGAATCGATCCAAACTCTCCCAATGCTTCTCCTGATCCAATGAGTATCAAATCCAAGACATTTTTTTCTTTTGTTCTGCCACACTATCTCCTATGTTCCTTACTTTTCCTAATAAATAGCAACTTGAGTCACTAAATGCTTCTATTAAATTGCTCAACAGAGAAAATGTTATCCTTAAATTAAATTGAAAGTAAAACCAGGTTAAATAAGAATACATTTTTCTCAAATCTAAATTAAATAATATAAAAGGATTGGGTTCAAATCAGCGGCTCTCTTTGTTCTCCATGATCCTCTAAAACTTTTCTTTTTTATTTGCATTTTTGAAGAAATAAAAGTAACCAAAAGACATTAAGAACTCAATTGCCATTGATTGCAAATGACTTCAGCAATTCAATTGTCATCAATTGAAATATCTATTAATTATGCAAATTCTACGGTGAACCAACTGCACCATGCAGCAAAAGACATGAACCAGTGATAAAATGACGCATCAAAGCTAACATCTTTAACATTGTTAAAGTCTTGATGGTAAATGCACCTTGTGAAACATGAAAGTACACTTTGTAAAATGATAACCAATGAAAAGTAAGTAGACCATATGACAATGTTTAACATGATTGGTTGAAATCTTGATTTAGCATGCAAATTACAACAGATGTTAATGAATGCACTGCAGTTGGACTCATTAATCATCTATTAATTCAATTTAGTATTAAATCAATGCTCTATTTATTATATTAGAAAATTCATTTAATATAAAAAACTAAATACTAAAATTAATATAAGATTATGTATCTAATAATATTAAAATAAATAAATCAATTAATTTGGCTAGCTGCCTAGCTCATTCCTAACCAAATATTCCATATATTAGATTATAAAATAAATTTATACAATTAAGAAAAAAAGATTATGGATACGTCTAAAGAAAAGAATAAACTATTGAAGTAGTCCATTTTTTTAATTCTATTATTTTTTATTGTTTTCTAATTCTACTATTACATACACTAAAACAATTAATTCAAACAAATAATTAGCATAGCATTAATCTATATCACATAGAAAAGGATTGGGTCCACATCAGCAGTTCAACCATCTTGGCCCATGGTGGGTTACCAGTTCAAATGTCTAGGCTCGTGACATCATAAATTGTATAATAAAAATATAAAATAGGTAAAAATGCAAAAATACAAAAATTTACAGAAAAAATTGGCCATGTCTCTACTATAATGTATTCATCATATTTTTAAACAAAAAAGTGTGGTATATGAGAATTATTGTTACTAATGATGGAAATGGCTAAAACACAAGAAAAAAAGGATTTAATATCTAACTTCTGACCCATTAATTGGGAAAAATGGTTCAACTGGATGGATCACAAGGGGTGGGGCTTTTTGGAACTTAGGTGTCATGTTCCCATTTAGAGTCTATTAGGCTTGTCAATGATACCCAAAAATCCAAGGCCCGATCCGACATCAGTTCCAATTATCTCGGATTCAGATGATGTGTTTATGTAATCGGATTGGATATGGATTTGCAATCTGCATCCAATTAATAATCAGATCAGATTCGTATTTGACTCCGTCCAATCCGATTAAAATCCGAATCTGTTTACATTATAATATTTATTGATTTTAATATAATTATATTATAATATAACATAATATAATATTATATATAATTATATTATATTATATTATATTGTGTTATATTATATTATATATAATTATATATAATATAATTATATTATATTCCTTTCTAGGCAAACAAACTAATAGAATAGAAAACCTATTAAGTTCTTTAGAGGTTTCTAGAACCATGATAAAAGGGAAAAACCTAAGGTAGTAATGTCAAGTTTCCCAACTGATATGAAGATACACAAGACTCCTTTAGATTTATCAAAGGTAAGCTACAAGGAGCTACCTACAAAGTTAATCTCCTCTTCAAAATGGGAAAAAGGAGAGACATCTAGACCTTCTAAAGCTGAGAAGAGCACATACTCCTGCTTAACAACCAGATTAATTTCTCCCTTTAAAATGGGAAAAGGGAGAAAATGCCAACTTTCTCAAAATAGAGAAGGCAGAAAAGGCCTCAGACTCTCACTCGGTAAATTTACTAAGTGAGGAAGAGGGCTGTGAAGAAGAAAATGCAGAATCGATTAAAGACTTAGAAGAATCTTTGGCAGGGATAAATACGATCTCTTATCAAAGCAAAATGCCTTATTACCCTAGGCATACATCAGTTGATTTATTACTTGAAGAACCAGTTAAGCCCCAAGTTGGCTATAATTGGAATACCTTTTACGAATGGAATTTAGATGGAAAATCTGAATATCAAATTCATGAGATGATACATCACATGACGATGTATGCCAACGCCAGTAAATTAGTTGGGAATGATAAAAAGGTTATTGCCACAGTAATTACTGAATCCTTTACAGGACAATTAAAGGGCTGGTAGCATAACTACTTGACCGAAATAGAAAGAGAATTCATCATATAATATAATATTATATTATATATATTATACAATACAATACAAAAGTTTTATAACATAACATTACATTACATTATCGAATTTAGATGGAAAATGACAATCAGGCTTCTTTTTATGTTTTCTATTACTTGTCTATCTATAAGGGGAAAGGTTTCTGATTCGTTTCCTATAGCTACAGTTCTTTCTACAGTTCTTACATTAAGATCTGTTTTTAAGCTAAGCATGCCTCTCTTATAGATTTCCGAAGGTGCAACCTTGGGTATGGTCCAATTTTGTAAGGATTTTTCTATATTACTATAGTTTATTTCTTCTGTATTTTTTATCGACATCGACTTTGTTAGGGACGAACTAGTACCACTCTCATCAAGGTTTTCTTTTATACTAGAGGCTGTCCTAAATAGTTTCTTCATCTTATCCTTTCACTTCACCAATTAATGGTCAATCAACTGCAGCGGCCTTCAATTCTTCACAGCCTAAACACGACTTCGACCTTGGTGCAAGGGTTCTAGCCTTGGTGAAACTGGCAGGTGTCTAGGCTGTCCAACTTGGGTTCTAGCCAAGTGATATCTCCTAATAAGGTAGGTACCAGTGAATACTATACTATACTATTACTACTATACATTATATATATAATAAATTCGGTATGTTATATTTATATTAATTTATTATATACAAACGTTGAAAAGTAACTAGCTTTTTAATTTTTTCGTATTTAAAAAATTAAAGCAGAGCTGGATTAAATTCGAATCCGAGGTCTTCCAATAATCGGAATGGATTTGAATGTTGCCGAATCCGATCCGAATCTGATCCATTACAGCCCTAGAGTCTATGTAAGCGCCACATAGGTGTTTTGACTTCATAGTACCAAAATCATGTTTAGTTGGGCAGATTTAACTTCAAATGCTTGTACCACCCTTACATCAGGTTATGTGCATGGGAGTGCTGGGGAAACGTTTTGGCATTTCCCCTGCATTTCCCCCAATAGGGGGGCATTTCAATTTCAGCTGTCATATATGGCATCTAGTGGCACTTTATGTTTTAAACTACAATAAACAATTGTACATTGTAATATGTTCCAAAAGGTCCAAAACATCTTACTTTCCCAAGTTCCAATGCTATAATTTGGGACAAAGGTTGAGACTTAAAACATCATGTAGGTTGTTGTCTAAGTCAATGTGTTTTTGTAAGCAAACAATTCATGGACTAAATGGACCTAGAAGTTTGACTGGGTGATGGATCATCCAGTCATACATGTTAGGTTAAAAATGGTTGAAAACATTGATACTTGGTAAGATTTTAGTTATAAAGTCAATTGAGTAAAAGTAGATCAGTTTATATTTGGATTTAACTCATATAGGTACTTTTAGGGGATAAAAAGGGTTGGGTTTGGTTTGGCCATATGAAAATGGACTAGATGCTTTTAGGAGATAAAAACGGTGATGGATCGTCCAGTCATACATGTTAGGTTAACAATGGGTTGAAAACATTGATTTTTTTTTTTTTATAGATAGGGTTGGAAACATTGATACTTGGTAAGATTTTAGTTACAAAGTCAATTGAGTAAAAGTAGATTAGTTTATATTTGGATATAATTCATATAGATATTTTTATGGGATAAAAAAGGGTTATATTAGATTTGGCTATATTAAAATGGACGAGATATGGTCATATGGATCTTGCTTATAGATCCACTCAAATCTGAATCTAGATCTATTAAAGTGGCAAACCCTAGAGGCTAGAACTTTTCAGATCTGGACTCATATTTTGTTGGATGTTACAACTCTTTTAGGTGTCTATGACTCCTCTAAATTTTGTTTTTTTTTTATTATTTTTTAAATAAAAAACAACAAATATGAGGCTACTTAAACTCGCTCACAACATTAATTTAAAATCAATTTCCATACACAATAGTCAATTCCATTCAGCAAAGTAGTAGACGTTTAAAATAATGAATTATCATATACCAAGAATACAGACAAATACACAAAATAACAGACCAATAGGATATTTAATCTAGACAAATGAGTAGTCCAACACACTGAATCCAAACAAATAAGTAAGAGCACATTAAATCAAATCAACAAAATATTGCTGCAAGAATCCAAACAAATAATGAACAGACTTAAATGCTATATAGTTTTATAATTAATAGAGCACAAACAAAATACAACATATGATAATGTCCCGCCTTGAATTTTTCCTTGCCTAAAAGGGCATCAAACATGTATGGTATAATAAATTAATAATGTGATAATAATGACACCTTTCCAAAAAGACCTAGTTGCCTACACATTGCTTAGGTGCCACCTTGACAACTATGCTGCTTTTTGTTTCCCTTTATTCTTTCTCTCTTTTTTTTACCTTTTCCTTTTTTTGGAGGGTGGAGGCTTCAATAATCTCATAAGTATAATCTTTTTCCTGCCATTCTTAAATGAAGGTTTGTGCATGGATTGAGAAATGGATGCAATGGAATATAAGCATATTCGCACATTTGTTTCCAGAAACAAGAAACTTTTTATTAAGAAAAGGGGGAAGTGAAAAGACACCTGAGCAGGGGGTAACGATGATACCCAGTCTGATGCATGTGTTGGAAGAAGACCCAATGTATTAAGCTGTCAAAAGAAAATAAACATTGAAATGAACAAACAGGAATACCGGATCACTTCAAATTGGGAAGGTGCCCTTGCATTAAAAAATAGCAAAGTGTCCTCACCTTCCAGACACCCAATGCCAGACCTGCCAAGTTCAGGGCAATGAAAAGTAGCTTGGGTCCAAGAGTATCCACTTTTGAATCCTTGTAAGGCTCAAAAACTGAAAACATGGCATTGAAACGATTAAATCAGCTTTTTTATAGTTAATAATTAATGATTAAATCAGAATCAGATATCACTTATTCTGAGAAGAGCATCTAAAATAGAAAGGAAATACAGATGCCAGCACTGTGTCGATGTCTTAGGATAAGTAACAGAAGAGAGCATAACAACCTTTGTTTATTCTCTCCTTATGTAAGGCAATGCAATTCCATTTGCATCGCCCTCTGAAGTTGAAAAGCACATATTGGGTAAAGGAGCAACGGCATGTAGCCAGCATGTGAAAAAGTGTGGCAATGACATTATTTTCTGCACTGTTATCAATGCTATGAGGTGGCGGTTGGTTGTTTTGGCCTCTGTAGTAATGTAGTTGATGCAATGACTAATCAGTGTCTAGGTGCTGAGTAGTCAACCAAAAAAAAAGAAACCTTCTAAATTAAAGATATTAATGCTACCTCATGAAGAAGTGAAGAAGTTAATATGGACTGCAAGTTTACAATAAAAGAATGATATTGAACATTAAATTTACAGTATTTTGCAAATATAAAGCTAGGCCTGATAAACTAGGATAGGGAGTTATAGCCATTGTTTATCAAGGAAATATTGCAATACTATTTGATGTACCCCTAGTTTGTAGCAACTCTATATCAGTTGACTAGTGATAGTTCAACAACACCAATTTTCTGAAATTTGGTTTTCTTGTGCCAAAGCAATGCCATATTCACATATGATGAGCCTTGTTTTTTTTTATAAGTAATAAAGTTTTTATTAAAATATCAATAGTAGCAAGGTATATGTAGAGAAAACTGATGTGGGCCCCACGGCTGTGAGGATATTAGTCATGTCAGTGTTAGTCGGTAGTCAGCTTGTTATTTCAGTTTGTTATTTATTTCAGTCTTTTATTTGTTTTTTCTTGCCATGTAAGTATTAAGGGCAGTCCTGTCCTTTCCCCTATGTACTGAACATAACCTATAAATATTAAGAGAGTGGTGGCGGCAAATTGATTGAATCTGTTCCTCCTTTCAAACCTTTGTGTACTTCTGGTTCTTCTCCTCTTTTTCCTCCTCCTACTTTTCTTCTATCTTTCCTAAATCTGAAATCTGTTAGGATTCAAGGCTGATTGTAGTCTTGATCAACTACTTGGTATCAAAGCCAAGATTAGGGCTTCTCATGTGAGTTTGATCCAGCTGACCACATGAGAATTGCCTAGGGCTGGAAGAATAGAGAAAAAGCTCTCTTCGGCTGATTCTTGGAGGTTATCTACAGCAGCAGTCCAAAGATTGGATCGAATCTTTGATAACCAGGAAGAATCAGAGGAAGAGAAAASGATCAAGATCAGTCCTTGATCAGTACTAAGGCGGCGATCAGAATTTCAGAGGATTTCTGTTCAAGATCAGTTTTTCCCTCTCAAGACTAGAGGATCAGTTTTATTTCAGGCAACGTTGGAAGGTGGCGATCAGAATTCTCTGGGTAAGTCTTATTTTTGTTTCTCTTGAGATTGCTATCAGTCAAGATAGGTTGGACCTATCTAGGAGGAGCGGCCGAACTCTCCTATTTTCTTGGAAACTGTTCGTTTTAGGGTTTTCTCTCAGAGGTGATCTGTTTTTAGGGTTTGACATTAACCCTACGGAAAGACCTAACTGTTGGGCTGAATTCTCCTATTTTCTTGGAAAGTGCTCGTTTTAGGGTTTGCTCTCAAAACCCTAATTCTGTTTCAGCAGTACAGATTGCTCTCTAAGTTGTTTTCAGACCTGTTTCTTGGCTTCGAGTTTTTTTTGGGGGGGGTGAGAACTTGTACGGACTACATATACTATGATTGCCAATTGGTTTCAGATCAGACCTGCACTGGTTTCATACTGATTTCTGATTGTGATCGACTGTTCAAGTGCTGTTCTCTATTGTAATAACCCTAATAGTTCTTAACTACTGATTCTTGACCACGAATGAAGTTTAAAAATCAGGGAGAAGGTGTTTTTGGGAACAGTGGTCATGGTAGTACATCTGAGACTGGGTTTCAGATTACAACTGTGAGATTTGACGGGTCCAATTACTTGGAATGGGCCCAATCAGCCATGATGGCTATTGGGGGAAGGGGAAAACTTAGCCACCTCTTGGGAGATGTGAAAGAACCTTCCAAGGAGGATCCA